TTACCAATTATAGAAGTTAATTGGCCAAGTGAAGTAAAAGGCCTAACACACAACTCAATGGCATTTCTCTTTGTCTGTCTGTATCGTGATAACCTTTTGAGAATACATCTGATCAATTCTGAAATTTCAGGGGACGCGCTAGACATCAATGAGAAGAACCCCACTGATTCGGGAGGAAATCAGAAAACTGAAAAAGTCCAGTTTCCATTTAGATCTGGTGACTAGCATCAGCAGCCAATGAGCCAACCACTCTGTTGAACGGCGGTAGCAGGATCTTCTGGGTGCTGAGCTGGGAGAATGGAGGTGACACAGAGCCTCTAGCGTGGGGGGATGGAGAATGGGAGCACATAGACCCCTAGCATGGGGGGAGGGGCACACAGAGGTAGGGCTGGGGGATGGGACATAGGGTCAGGGTTAGAGTTGGTTGGGTAGTTTCCAATGGAACATTTTTCCCATCACAAACATTTCCCTAACGCAGAGCATCATGGTTTGCCCCAGGCTGGTTCCTGCCAATCCAGGCTGAGTGTCTGGGCGCAGGGCAAGTGGAGGTGTCTCCTGCCCCATACTCAGCAAATGCAGAGCGCAGGGCTGGGCAGCACGGGTCTACTGGGGCGTCGCTTCAAGAGGGCCGAGGTACGGTTGGGCAGGTGTTTCCCTTAACTCTGCAGGCCCTGGTTTGGCTGAGCACGACACTCTGGATGGGCACATGCGGCCCCCCACCAGAAAGCCCTGCTGGAACTGGTCAGTCTTGAGAAATGCTGATTTATTGGGGGGAAGAGGGGGAGCTCTATCTGGCCCTTGCTCCATCCGCCCCACCTTTGGGTCACCAAACCCACCGGGCACCACCACGAGGCTCCCGATCCTCCCGGCAACCTGAGTCCGCAGGCGCATTGCAGATCATTTAGGGGAGTCAACCAGGACACAGAAATCTCTTCTCCACCTGTAACAACCAACCACCCAGAGCTACAGGGCTAATGAATAAGAGCCACCAGATAATGGTAATTAACCGTGAATACGACAATTGCAAATATTTAATAAATACTCATCACTGGTACTGTTCAGACTCTCTGCATCTGAAGCCCGGCCTAGCGGGAGATCTCTGGGACTTTCTAACCGTCAATCACAGCCCCAAAGCCTATAGACTTCCCCCTCTCCAATCCTAACAGCGCCTGGACTCCTGGGTCCTTCCCATCAGGGCCAAGGCTGAGAGGTCAGTGTCAGTAGAGCCGTGTGTATCCCCTGCCCCACCCACCTCCAGATAATCTGTCTCCGTCCGCGTAAACGTGCTGGAAATGTTAAAAATCTAGAAAATAATCAAAAGAAAAGGTGAGCGCCCCCTGCCGAGCCTCACATCTCACCCCAGCACAGCCCCTCTGCTATGCCCACTTCCACTCCCTGCTCCCCAGCGCCCCCTGCTGGGCCTCCTACCATTCCCTGAATCACAGTGCCCCCTGCGAACCCCCCACCTGCTCCCCACTGTACGGTGCCCCCTCCCGAGTCCCCCCCACTCCCTGCTCCCCCAGCACCCCCTGCTGAGCCCCCCCTCTCCCGGCTACACTGCGCCCCCACCAAGTAGGAGCTGAGCAATATGCTAAACACGGAGAGCTTGATGCTGGTCTCCATGCAGCGCTGCAGGTCCAGGGAGCCCTCGGTGTCCACCAGGAACACGGCCACCTGCAGGGACAGACACACGGACAGATCCACCGGCCACAACGACGGGCACCCTGCACTGACACCACCCTCACCCCTGCCCAGCCCTGGCACCTCTGCTGCCCGGCTCCCTGGGATCAAACTGTGAACAGCCCCCCTACCCCACCCCAGTGTGTCTGTAGGGAGCCCCAGGGCCGGGACTCTGCCTCCCCCCCCAGCTTCCCCCATTCCCCCCTCCAGCCTCCCTGCTCCGCACAGGATCCTGTCCCCCACTTCCCTCATTCCCCTTCCCTACTGCCCCATCCCCCATCCACCAGCCTGCCCCCCTGCCCCACTCACCTTCCTCCCCTGGCCCTGGACCCAGAGGGGCTGGCCCCACATCCACACCCCCTTCGTGACGGTCGCCGTCCCGGCGCGACATTCAAACCCCCCCAGGGCCACGTGCTCTTGGTTCTGTAGGGGGGCAACCAGAGACAGGGGATGTGGGAATGCGGTTTGGGGGGTCTGGGGTGCTCAGGGTGCAGGGGATGGCTGGGGACCTATGGGGCAGGGGGAGGGGCCATGGCTGAGGAGGGTGAGGTCTCGGCAGCTGTGGCCAGGGCCTGGCACAGGGAGAGGACACTGGCTGGGGGCTGGGGGGACCTTTGGTATAGGGGGTGGGGCTGCAGTGAAGCAGGCAGGGGACTCGCTGGGTCAGGTGGAGCATGCAGTGAACAGGGCGGAGCCCTGGCTGCGTAGGGTTGGGCCTGTGGTGTTGGGGACGTGGCCTCTGTAGGGTTGCCAACTTTCTAATGGCTGGAAACCAAAACCCTTTCCCCGCCCCGTGCCCTGCCTCTTCCCCCAAGGCCCCACCCCCTACCCCACCTTTTCCCCCAAGGCCCCGCCTCCTGCTCACACCTCTCCCCCACTCCTTCCGTCGCTCGCTCTCCGCACACACTCCCCCCTCTCCTGGGACTCACCGGCTGCAGCTGGGAGGAGCTGATGGGGCACAGCAGGGTGGAGGGTGGGCTGGGGCACAGCAGTATACAGCAGGGGTTGGTCCCTGGCACAAGGGGGCAGGGAGGGGTTGGTCCTCATACCGAGGGCCCAGGGCGGGGGCACAGTGGGACAGAAGGAGGGGCGGGCAGGATCCCTTCCCCCCAGGCGGTGGCACCTTCCTCTTGGAGCCTGGTCCAGAAGCCAGCCACTGCTCCGTCAGGCTTCAGCAGCTGAGCAGAGAGCAGCTCCTCCATGTGGCTCCAGCTGCCCCCCAGTGGCAGAGGCCGGTTACTGTGACCAACCGGACTTTTGGTGTCCGGTCAGCTGTGCTGACTGGATGCTGCCAGGTTCCCTTTTTGACCGAAAACTGGACACCTGGCAACATAGGCCTGTGGTGAAGGGAGCAGAGGCCCTTCCTGCGGAGGGCAAGCCTTATCTGGGGTGGGCGGGGTCTGTGGTTCAGGGGGCAGGGCCTTATCTAGGGTGGGCGGGGTCTGTGGTTCAGGGGGCAGGGCCTTATCTGGGGTGGGCAGGGTCTGTTGTTCAGGGGGCAGGGCCTTATCTGGGGTGGGCGGGTCTGTGGTTCAAGGGGCGGAGCCTTATCTGGGGATCCCGTCCCCACTCACCTGGCGCTGGAGCCGGCACAGCAGGCAGTTCATCAGGAAGGATTTGCCCCGGCATTGCTCCCCGATGATGGACACCAGGCAGACAGGGGCGGCCCCCACCCCACCCTGCTCCAGGCAGCGGCTCAGGGCCTCCTCGTCCAGACGCACCAGCTGCACCGGGCGTGCCGGCTCCGGCTGAGCCCCCGGCCCCTGCTGCAGGGAGAGAGCAGGGTCAGAGCTCGGACCCCACCCCTGAGCTGGTGAGTCCCCTGTGCCCCGGATCATAGCCCCATGCCCCATTCCCATCCCCTGAACCAACTAGCCCCTGCCCCTCAGATCAGATCCTCTTGAGCCATTTCCACCCACCGTGAGCCAGCCAGTCCCCTGCCCCCCAAATCAGAGGCAGTGCCCCCTAGGGAGGAAAGGCCCCGTGTCCCATTCCCCATGCCCTGATCCAGCCAGTCCCCACCCTCGGGCCTGTGAGAGCCTGCGCCCCTTTCCCCTGATTCAGCCTGTCTGGTCTAACCGGCTCCATCTCTTCCCGCAGGGGCTCTGTGATTTTCTTCACCAGGGCTCTCAGCCGCGTGTCTGGGGTCATCCTGTCCCTGGAGCAGGGAGCCCGGCACTCAGGGCAGCGGGGTCCCCAGGCCGAGACCCCGCGCCAGTGAGCCGCGAGGCAGCCCCGGCAGAAGTTGTGGCTGCACTCGATCGAAACGGGATCATCCAAGACATCCAGGCAGATGGAGCAGGTGACGTCCTCCCGGAGTCGCTGCATCTCTCCAGACCCGCTGAGTGGGGGGAACCTACTGGGTCAGGACCTGGCACCCGGAGCAGTAGGGCTCTGCTGGAGGACGGCTGAACTCTAGCCCAGGTGTGCCCCTTCGTGGCAGCAGGAGTCTGGGGAGGAGCGAGAGAACATGGGAATATTTCTGTGAACAAGCTGTGTGACTCAGTTTACCTGCCCACTTTGTGTCCCTGTCCACCGGGCAGCACCAGAGCGAGAAGACGGATTCCAAGAAGTCATGGCGGAGATTGGTAGATTCCCAGGCCAGGAGGGACCAAGGCTGAGCTCCTGGATAACGCAGGCCAGAGAATTGCACCCAGTTAATTCCTGTTTGAACGAGAGCAGATCTCTTAGAAACACATCCCACCTCGAGGGAGAATCCACCGCACTCCTTGGTACATTGTTCCCATGGTTAATTCCCCTCCCTGGTAAACACGGATATCTTCTTTCCAGGCTGAATGTGTCCAGCTTCAGCTTCCAGCCATGTGGTCACGTTAGAGCTTTCTCTGCTAGCCTAGGGTTACCATATTTGCACAAGCAAAAAAGAGGACACTGGGGGGGG